TTTGCTTTCGCCTAGAAACACACAGCATCTCTCTGACATGCTGCTTCAACACTAACTGCGGTTACTGAAACTTCTTTCTGAGTTACTTCTTTCTTTGCGTGCACATTTGGGCGGCGTTATGCAAATATTTCCACATAGTGAGGTAGATATGTGGGGGCGTGTTAGAACGGGCCGTTTTAGGGGGGCGTGGCAGAGTCTTAACTTTGATAAAGAATATCTCTTTGGTTTTGAGACTTTAGTCTTTGCAACTTCAGGGATCTTATCTATGCACAATCAGCTTGTAACACTCCAAAGAGAAAGGAAAACTTGAAATCGCATCATATGACCCCTTTAAACGACTCAAATATCTCTCTTTCCCTCTTTTGCTGTTTTCTGCATTCCGTCTCTTTCAGATTTCTAATAGGGTCACATCAGGCTGTCCAATATGATGAAAGATTGCCTTCAGTTCCTCATTGAGCCAGCCAAGAAGCTCAAGTTTCGTCTGAAGGTACAGTAGGTCATTCATTCATTCATTTGTTGCATCAGAGGATTTTTTTCAGTAATTTGGAGAAAATCATTAACTAACAAACTTAGTTGTGGCGTCATTTACACCACAACCAACAATATTTCCCACTAATAAAGTAGTATACTTGTTTATCAATGAGACACAATGAAATGTGAGACATGTGGCGTATGAAGAAAATAAGGAAAATTAAGGTAAATATCACTTGTGAACAGAATATATTTTTATATGTTACTTTTATACTGAATATAGTTATTTACAGTCAAGGCACACTTGTCAAAACATATGACGAAATTATGAAATATGATTTAATTATGTAATATGAAAATATGATGTACAGTAATTGTGTGTATTTAGGATAGACTACATAAAGTGTGAGGCACAACTACAGGTGCTTTTATGTCAGATGAATTGACTTTTATTAAAACTAGTTTAGTTGTGGCATCATTTTCATCACAACAATTGTTCCTGCTACAAAATTAGATGTAAGATGAAGAAAATAAGGAAAATTAAGGGAAAAATATCACATGTATGTTTGAATTATATTTTGAATATAATCATTTTCAGTCAAGCTGTAACTGTTAAAATTGTGGAAAAGTGTAAAAAAAAAATATATATAATAATTTATTTTCCACTTTTCCACAAGTTTAACTGAAAATATTATTTAATTATGTGTATTTAGTATAAATAAAATGTTAGCTATGAAATCCAATTGAGATGTGGTGGAGATGTTCATGACTTTCAGAAAAAAAAATGAATATAAAATGTATAAGTTTAGCTGTTATATTCCCTGGTGGAGCCTTAGTTACCCCATAAATCGCAACTGTCTGTGCAGGAGACGCGGAAGAGAGTGAAACATGTAAAGAAAGAGCCGTTAACAGAGAGTCAGCTGTTTATAATGGAGCTCGCGCGAGAACTCAACAGGATCTGTCAGGTAAGACAAATATATGGTTGCATTGTACCTGTACCTGGCTTTTCTCCAGCTCTCTAGAGTCAGCTATTGAATACATTTCCACACACATTTTCAAACTGTGTGTATCTCTGTTGGAAGCTCTTATGCTGATTATGTCTTTCAGAGGTCAGATATTCTGGCTCACATCTGGACCGGAAAGGACGTATGGCCTCCACACGCCTGTCGAGAGTTCATTGTGGAGACCGCCAACATCCTGGAGATGAAGGTTAGAACCTGAGCTGAAATGAATCACAGGCAGATTCATTAACAGAATTGAACTTCAACAAATTGATGTTTTGGGGTGATGTGCACCTCCAAACATGGTGTGTATTATGGCATCCAAAGAGTACAATTTTGGTCTCATCTGACCAGACTATATTCTCCCAGTATTTCACAGGCTTGTCTAAATGTTGTGCAGCAAACTTTAAACGAGCTTCAACATGCTTTTTCTTCAGCAATGGAGTCTTGCGTGGTGAGCGTGTATATAGGCCACGGCGGTTGAGTGCATTACTTATTGTTTTCTTAGAAACAATTGTACATGCTAATTCCAGGTCTTTCTGAAGTTCTCCACAAGTGATCCTTGGCTCTTGGACAACTCTTCTGATAATTCTTTTCACTCCTCTGTCAGAAATCTTGCGAGGAGCACCTGGTCGTGGCCGGTTTATGGTGAAATAATGTTCTTTCCACTTCCGGATTATGGCCTCAACAGTGCTCACTGGAACATTCAGGATTATAGAAATCCTTCTGTAACCAATGCCATCAGTATGTTTTGCAACAATAAGGTTGCGAAGGTCTTGAGAGAGCTCTTTGCTTTTACCCATCATGGAATGTTTCTTGTGTGACACGTTGGTCATGGGACACCTTTTTATAGGCCATCAGTTGAGACTGAACCAGCTAATATTAATTTCCATTGACTTACTGATAGATTTCAGCTGGTGTCTTGGCTTTCCATGCCTTTTTGCACCTCCCTTTCTTCATGTGTTCAATACTTTTTCCCTGTGTCATTCCACTTTATTACACAGAACTTAATTTCTGAACTTATTTGTTTTGCTTTCTTTGTATGTATGGATTACTTGGATTGTTACCGACATCTGGTGAAAATGTCATGTCAACAGCACCTTTAGAAATATATTTACTGAGAAAAATGGTGATGTGTTCAATAGTTATTTTACCCGCTGTATGTGTAATTCACACTGAAAAATGAAATTCATATTTTAATGCAAACATTATAAAAGCTGTGAAATTCATTTGAATTCTACTTCTGGTAACACTTTAGTATAGGGACCAGTTCTCACTATTAACTAGTTGCTTATTAGCATGCCTATTATTAACATATTGTCTGTTTATTATTACTTATAAAGCACATGACCATATTCTACATCCCTAATCCTACCCAGTATCTAAACTTAACAACTACCTTACTAACTATTAATAAGCAGAAAATTAGGAGTTTACTAAGGCAAAAGTCATAGTTAACGTTTCGTTAGTGAGAATTGAAACTTGAAAAATGAAGCGTGACACTACTTCCTAGTACGGGATATAATTAGAAATGTAAAAAGCAGTTAATTTCTGAATGATCCACAACCCTGTTCCTCAGTAAATATAGTCACCTGTATTTCCTGTGTTCATTTAGCTGCATCCTACAGGAGACACACTCTGTTTTTCAGACAGCTGCTGTTTCTCAGGATCTGCATGGCTTTAATTACAGGCTGATGTTGGTTGGTTCCAGCCGTGTGTTAAATTTAGAAGAAATCCTGCCACCAGTCCCCATAGTAACCAGCTAGTCTGTTTCTATCAAGCTGACTGACAGCTCCAGTGGCTTAAGGGTTTAAAATTCGGTGTCCGTTTTCAAAGGATCAAGCTCTAATCGTGGTTTGTTTTTAAGTTATAGTATAGTCCGCAGTACTTTTGTGTCTTTGAGCTGTAGTTCACTCCAGGGCGTCCGCCTCGCGGATTTAGTGTACTTTTAAAAAAGCTTGTTGTCAGCACATTGCGTCTGAGAAATCAAAGTAATTGATTTGAGTTAGACACGGGCTGTTTATTAAAAAGGTTACTGCGTCATAAATGCCAGCTCAAGGGGCTGAAGTTATTGAGGCAATTATTTTCAGAGTTACTGATATTAAATCAAAAATACTGTATGTTGGAAAAGGAAATTGCATTGAGGGATTTAGATCAGAGGTTCTCTATATGTGGTTATTAAAGATTTTATGTCATAGAGATGATACAGACATTCAACAGATGTAGTTTATATTCATTCCAAAGCCAAATGACTGGAGATCTCAATATTTGAAAGCACCATAAAAATATCATAAAAGTTCATAACTTCCATGCTATATTCCAAGTCTTCTGTTTTTTTTTCTCATTATCCAGGAAGATACTGAGACGCCCATGCAAGTTTATGCTGATCTGCATCCAGAAAAGCGGGACTGGAAGAATCAGTTACTCAGCATGCTGGAGCAGGGAGGAGAATATGACTTGGGCCCGTACAAAAGGATCATTTTAGACTGGACCAGAGGACAGCGCAACAGACACCCGGTGAGGAAGATTCAGAAGATACATCTGCATACACTACCAAATTTCATTAGAAGCATTCCGGGATGCTTTAAAACTATATTGAAAACATTCATAAATATATTAAGGGTTACAACGTTCTCTCATTTTGTCAAAGTAATTGGTTTGTTAGTGTGTAATGTAATATCAAACCATGCTGTAAATGAAGCATCTTACTCCCTCTATTGGTCTTAGTCTCGGGTTGCTCTCTGATTAAGAATTAAGATATTAACCTTGCTATGATCCTCTTGTCAGACTGGGTTAATTACAAACGACCTCACTGACTGACCTGAGAGAGACATGCACAGCCCGCTAAGCCGTATAAATTAGACTTACCATATTGTTTTTCATTTAAAATAATGGCAGATTTGCCAAACGCTTCTGGCTTACTTCATACTGCATGGTGCAGACAATATACCACCAGGGTTTCTGCAGGTCTTAAAAAGTTCTTAAAGGGACAGTTCATACAAAAATACAAATTCTGTCACCAGTTACTCACCCTCAAGTTGTTTCAAGCCTGTATGAGTTTCTTTCTTCTGTTGAACACAAAAGAAGATATTTTGAAGAATGTGGGTAACCTAACAGTTGCTGGTAGTCACTGTATTCCATAGTATGGAAAAATATATATACTATTGAAGTCAATGGCTATCAGAAACTGTTACCAACATTCTTTAAAATATCTTCTTTTGTATTCAGCAGAAGAAAGAAACTCATTAAGGTTTGGAACAACAGTGAGCAAATTATGACAAATATAAATTTTTGGGCGAAATGTAGGTGCTGAAAGTCTTAAATAAAGGCATGGCATTAAATGTTGTATGCACTGCAAAAGAAATTATAAAAATTAAATAAAAAAATATTGTTTTGCAAATTAAAATATGGTAACATCTTTAAATCAAGATTAATTTACTTTTTAGTAATAATTATTTTTTAATAAAGTGAATGTAAAAGTAGTGGAGATCTGTTGAAAGTTACAAACAATGATTTATATTAGTGTTGCTAATGTAACTCATTGTGTGCTCCCTAGACATTTACATTTAGACAACACATTGACGTGTTGTGTTCCTTTCGATTTATTACTTACATTTTTTTTTCTTGGTCTTAAAAAGACACAAAACCTGCAGAAACCCTGACTACCTCCAATTTTTCAAAGTAGTGCACTGTTAAAAATAAATGTTCTTAATTTGCATCTATGGTTCCATGAAGAAACTTTGACATCCATGGAACCTTTCCATTGCATAAAAGAAAAGTGGAAAAATGTTCTTCAGCTTACTAAATGTAAGCCTTTTTTAGGAATTGTTCATTGAAAGGTTCTTTAGGGAACCAAATGGTTCTTCTGTGGCATCGCTCTTTTGCAGTCTTTATTTTTAAGAGTGGATGCATTATGCGACAATACCTGAATAAATGCAGTTTGCTCTTTCATATACTAAATAGCTAAACAGCCCAAACTCGCATCATTAATGGCAGATTTGCCAAACGCTTCTGGCTTACTTCATACTGCATGGTGCAGACAATATACCACCAGGGTTTCTGCAGGTCTTAAAAAGTTCTTAAAGGGACAGTTCATACAAAAATACAAATTCTGTCACCAGTTACTCACCCTCAAGTTGTTTCAAGCCTGTATGAGTTTCTTTCTTCTGTTGAACACAAAAGAAGATATTTTGAAGAATGTGGGTAACCTAACAGTTGCTGGTAGTCATTGTATTCCATAGTATGGAAAAATATATATACTATTGAAGTCAATGGCTATCAGAAACTGTTACCAACATTCTTTAAAATATCTTCTTTTGTATTCAGCAGAAGAAAGAAACTCATTAAGGTTTGGAACAACAGTGAGCAAATTATGACAAATATAAATTTTTGGGCGAAATGTAGGTGCTGAAAGTCTTAAATAAAGGCATGGCATTAAATGTTGTATGCACTGCAAAAGAAATTATAAAAATTAAATAAAAAAATATTGTTTTGCAAATTAAAATATGGTAACATCTTTAAATCAAGATTAATTTACTTTTTAGTAATAATTATTTTTTAATAAAGTGAATGTAAAAGTAGTGGAGATCTGTTGAAAGTTACAAACAATGATTTATATTAGTGTTGCTAATGTAACTCATTGTGTGCTCCCTAGACATTTACATTTAGACAACACATTGACGTGTTGTGTTCCTTTCGATTTATTACTTACATTTTTTTTTCTTGGTCTTAAAAAGACACAAAACCTGCAGAAACCCTGACTACCTCCAATTTTTCAAAGTAGTGCACTGTTAAAAATAAATGTTCTTAATTTGCATCTATGGTTCCATGAAGAAACTTTGACATCCATGGAACCTTTCCATTGCATAAAAGAAAAGTGGAAAAATGTTCTTCAGCTTACTAAATGTAAGCCTTTTTTAGGAATTGTTCATTGAAAGGTTCTTTAGGGAACCAAATGGTTCTTCTGACTTGTAATGTTTTTCAAAGAAGTCTCTTATGCTCATCAAGGCTGCATTTATTTAATACAATATACTGTATAAAAAAAATACAGAAAAAAAACGTAATCTTGCTAAATGTTATTACAATATAAAATAATGGTTTCTATTTTAATATACTTTAAAATATCATTTATTTCTGT